ATTTCAAATAGGTCAAAACTGCAGAGAAATGAGAATCGAGATATCAGTGAAGTCATTGCTCTTGGTGTACCCAATCCTCGGACTTCAAATGAAGTTCAGTATGACCAAAGGCTCTTCAACCAATCTAAGGTAAGGAAGTCTAGAAACTGCCGGTCTTGTGTCTTGATAGCAATACCTATCCTCAGAGAAAAAAAAAATTACAGATATGGGCCAGCTAAAGGTGTGCTAGTATGATGCTGGGGTAAAATGGAAATTGTATGTTGTTACTTAAAAGACAAGATGAAAGAAACACTTCTGGTTATAACCTCTTAGGGTTGGCTAGAATTTGAAGTACTGGTGGAAAATGAAAGAAGGTAAGTGATAAAACTTGGTTCTGAAAAAAAAAATTAAAAATTAAAAAACTTGGTTCTGGTATGTCTACCTTTTTCTAAAATAGAGCCTACTAAAATAATAACCACTGTTGGATTATTCTGGTAGTAGTTGTCTTTTTTGGTGGGGAGGGCAGTACTGGGGATATAATCCAGAATCTTTGCACTGAGTTATATCCACATCCATTTTTATTTTTCACTTTTAGACAGGGTCTCACTAAATTGTCCAGGCTGGACTGGAACTTGACATCCTCCTGCCTCACCCTCCCAAAGTGCTAACATTACAGGCATGCACCACCATACTTAGCTGGATGGTTTTTTAATGTCATAGAGACACAGCAACTTGAAATTTAAGAATGAAGCCTTGAAATTAAATACCAGAGGCCGGGCATGGTGGCACACACACCTGTAATCCCAGCATTCAGGAGCCTCAGGCAGGAGGATCCTTGCAAGTTTGAGGCCAGCCTGAACTGCATAGCAAGACCCTGTCTCAAAAAGACAAACAAACAAACAAAAATTAAATACCAGAATGATTGCCAGAAAATCTGATGTCTAGCACTGTCTATCATTAACCAACTAGAATACATTTTCATGAACCTAATGTTGATTACTATGTATAAGGAAGCAGATCAAAGATGGAGTCACTTTTGCCCCCAAGAAACCATACATAAATAAAGACAGAATAATGAATATGAATGTGTGAATTGTACTGGGATATAGAAGGGAAAAGTTAATTATAACTTGGAGAGTTTTAGATTTGAAAGTATAATTTTAATATGCTCTTCTAAGAAATTTATTGAGTGCTTTTTATATTCCTGGTGTTCTGGTGTTCTAAGTCTTTTACTTGTATTACCTCAACCCTTAAAAAAGTAAAACCTGTAGTCATAATTTTTTTAATTTGTATTGTATAGATAAGGAAAATGAAACACAGATTTAGTAACTGATGCAATTATGATTCCAACTTGAATGTCTTGATTCCAGTGTCATTTTTGATGGCAGAGGGGCATGGTGGAAGAAAAGGTGCTCAACCCATGGCAGCCAGGAAGCATGGAGGGAGATAATACCCTTCTAAGTCCATGCCCCCGGTAACTGGCCCCATCGCGGGTTGTGTCTCCATAATACCAAGGTAGCTGTGAATTCATCAGTGGACTAAGCCAGTGATGACTGTAGCAACTCCATGATCCAATCATCTTCTTGATGTGTTAGTTACTTTCTCATTGCCAAAACTCCATACCTGACACTATAACTAAGAAGGAAAAGTTTATTTCTACTGTTTGTAGAGGTTTCAATCCATAGTAAACTGGCTACAAGGCAAGGTGGCATAGCAGAGAGGCATGGCAAAGGAGAATTGCTCATGGTGTGGCAGGTAGAAAACAGCAATTAAAGGAGGCAGAAAGATGTACCCTTCCAAGCTATGGCCCCAATAACCCACCTTCTCCCAACATCCCGTGTAGCTAATCCACTGATAAGTATCACATCTCCATGATCCAGTCAACTCCCAGAAGTCCCAGCTATTAAAGTATGAGGCTTTGAGGGGACATCTGGATATAAACTATTACAGGAGGCTTTTGTGGAACATTTTATATCTAAACATAAATGAAGTTTTCTGTTTGTTTTTCATTGTGACATATATTATCAGACCATAGTGCAATGAAATTGGAAACCAATGGTAAAAGAAATCACAAGCATTTCATAAACACATGGAAATTAAGTAGCACCCTCCTGAACAACCAGTGGGTCACAAATGATATTAAAGAAGAAATTAGACAAGTGATGATGACAGCCGGGTGTGGTGGTGCACGCTTGTAATCCCAGCACTCCAGAGGCTGAGGCAGGAGGATCCTTGCAAGTTCAAGGCCAGCCTGGGCTACAAAGTGAGCTCAAGACCAGCCTGAACTACATAGTGAGACCCTGACTCAAAAAGACCCCCCCCGAAAAAAAAGTGATAATGACAATACAACATACCAGAAATTATGAGACAGAATGAATGCAGTCCTAAGAGGAAATTTTATAGCAGTGAATAACCATATCAGGAAAACAGCAAGCGCAAATAAACACCTTAATGGTGAACTTCACGCTTCTAGAAAAAGAAGAGCAGGCTAAGCTAAAAGCTCATATGAGGGAGGAAATTCTAAAGATCAGAGCAGAAATTAATGCATTGGAAACTAAAGAAAAAAAAAACCAATACAAAGAATCAAAGAGTTGGTTCTTTGAAAGATTAAATAAAATTGACAAACCCTTATCCAACCTTACCAAAAAAGGAAATAAAAGATGCAAATCCACACAATTAAGAATGAAAAAGTTAAAAAAAAAAAAAAAAAGTGAAAAAGGTAAAATCATAACGGACCCTGCAGAAATCCAGAAGATCATCTACATCTACTTTGGAAACATGTATTCTAATAAGATGAAAACACCGAAGAAATGGAAAGATTCCTAGGTACATATAATTACCAAAACTGAATCAAGAAGATACAAAAATCCTAAATAAATCACTCAATGGAATCAAAGATACGATTAAAAACCTGAAAACAAAGAAAAGTCCAAGCCCTGACAGATTCACTGCTGAATTCTACAACAAATTTAGAGAAGTCCAAAGAAGACCTAACACCACTACTTCTCAAACTCTAGTGAAATTGAAAAGGAAGTAATACTCCTGAATTCACTCCTGGAAGCAAGCATTACTCTGATACCAACAGTTGGAGAAGAACCCAACTAAGAAAGAGAACTGCAGGCCCATCTCCCTAATGAACATAGATGCAAAAATCCTCAATAAGAGGATTGGCAAACAATACATCAAATCATCCAAGTTTATACATCACGAGCAAGTGAGATTCATCCCAGGAATGCAGGGATGGTTCATCATATATAAATCAATAAATGTAATATACCATATTAACAGAACCAAGGACAAAAATCATATCTCAATAATACAGAAGAAGCTTCTGACAAAGTCTGAAATAATATTATTATCCATTCATAATAAAAACCCTACAGAAAATTGGAATAGGTGGTCTTTATCTCAATCTGATAAAAGCCATCCATGACAGACCAACAGCCAACATACTAAATGAACAAAAACTGAAAGCTTTAAATTTAGGAACAAGTCAAGGATATCCAGTCTCTACTTAAACAACATAGTCCCAGAAGTTTTAGCCAGAGCATTTGGACAAGAGAAAGAAATGAAAGCAATAACAACAGGAAAGAAGTTAAATTAATCATTATTTGCAGGACATGTTACTCTTCATAATTTTCATTGTGAGCCTTAATGCCTTGTCTGTGATAATGATATTCTCAGGCAGTTTTAAGGGATATAACTTTTTGTTTTACTGTAAATGGTCAGAAAGGTTTTGCCATTCTTTGATCTTCTTGCCACTATATCCATAAAAATTGAAATTGTCAGGAACCTGCTTATAGATTTCTCAATTTTAATGCTTTGTTAAAGTGCTCAAACTTGTTAATGAATACCTTATTAATGTGAATCCTGGGGTAAGAAGCCAAACATGAAGGTTATATACATTTGATGCATATTTAATAATGTCCTCCCTAAAATTTGTAGTTCAGATTTTTGAAAATGTGAAATGTACTATAACCAGATATAACCAGATACTATAACCAGAAAGAACCAGATTCTTTACATTCTCCATGTAAAGAATCAGGTTCAGCTTTTAATAATTCATACATTTTAAAATTTCATGTCATTCATTTTTCCACAGGGTATGGACAGTGGATTTGCAGGTGGAGAAGATGAAATTTACAATGTGTATGATCAAGCCTGGAGAGGTGGTAAAGATATGGCCCAGAGTATTTATAGGCCTAGTAAAAACCTGGACAAGGACATGTATGGTGATGACCTAGAAGCCAGAATAAAGACCAACAGGTACCAAGGCAGACAGTTCAGCTTCAGTGTTTCTACCAATAAAACAAAACTATTTCATAATCTTTTCTCTTGTTCCCTAGATTTATTCCTGACAAGGAATTTTCTGGTTCTGACCGTAAAAGAGGCCGAGAAGGACCTGTTCAGTTTGAAGAAGACCCTTTTGGTCTCGACAAATTTTTGGAAGAAGCCAAACAGCATGGTGGCTCTAAGAGACCTTCAGATAGCAGCCGCCCCAAGGAACATGAGCATGAAGGCAAGAAGAGGAGGAAAGAATAAATGGAGCTATCTTCAAAGTGAATGAACTATTATCCATAACCCTAATGATGCAAGTCATGGGGGGACTCTTTGTAAATGGTCAGGAAAAAACCAAATCTGGGTGCTAGATCCCAGCACTACTTTTTATTACAGGAGACGGGGGGGATTGAAAATTCTACTTTGAATTACTTAGTTTTTTAAAAGAGTGGGTTGTGTTTGTGCTTCTCCCACCTTTTCAGCACCTAGAGAACATGCTACCCCACACACAGAATTGAGACCTCTTCTTTTTGTGTGACACATGTAGTCTGGGGTAATATTTTGTGTAAGAGCAACTGCTTATAACTTAAGGTACCTCAACCACCATGAATAGGAGGGTGTTCACATACTGGAAATGTGCTATCAAATGAATTCTGTCCGTTGTCCTGTTTTTCTCTGGAGTGGGGAAAGTAAAGTATTGCTTACTGCAACTACTTGTTTCAAATAAAAACATTTAGACAAAATTCTGTTTTGTGTTTATTTAATGGGCAATAAGCATCTTAGAAATCTTTCTCTTCATCAGAGGTTTGATCCCCTTGCAAAATTTTTGGTCTTTGAACTTGAACATGGACCTAAAAAAAAAAAAATCAAGCACTATAAGGAAAGGCAATGTTTACAAAAATATTAAAACAAAATCAATACTTTATAAGAATGCCTTTTTTTCTTTAGCAATTCAGCACCAATGACTCAAGCATTTATTAGTAGGTGGTTCTTAAGACTCCCTGAACTTTGATTAAAAACTCTTTAAGTCAATTTGGAACAAGATCATGTAAGTGGGAAAGCCAAGATTTCAATGCTAGCTTGCTTGAATTGACACTATTTCCCCTGTTCTATATTACATAAATCTTGTTAACCATCGAAGGGCCTTCCAGTTGGAGGTACAGCTCAGTGGTAAAGCACATACTTAGCATGCATGAAGCCTGGAGTTCAATCCCCAGCACCAAAAATAGTTTTCCTATACTTCCCTCCTCAGACCTTTTAGAATATCACATTCTACCACCGCTGATTTACTTATTATTTTACCTTTTTTGAGACAGGGTCTCACTTTAGCTCAGGCTGGGTTGGTCATCCTCCTTGAACCCAACTGTGTAGCAAAGACTGGCTTGAGACAGGGTCTCACTTTAGCTCAGGCTGGGTTGGTTGTCCTCCTTGAACCCAACTGTGTAGCCCAGACTGGCTTGATGATGCTACTGCCTCAACCTCCAGAGTACATGCCCAGCTTGTACCACTACCAGTCTTTAACAAGCATTAAAGAAGCTCATGAGGCATAAATTTTCCCATTCTGACCTATTTGGTACATGGAAAGCTTGTGATAAGATAATGAGGCATTTACCTTCACTCCATCAATTATGTGGTTTTCATGTTGCATTGCATTCTGTAGCTCTTCTTGTGAAGAAAAGTAAATCCAACCCAAACCTTTATGAAAGCCAGTCTCTCTGTTCTAAAAATACAAAATGTCATAAAGGGAAGGATTAATTATGAACTTGAAAAAGTTTCTATAAGCTCCAAATCAAACGACCAACTTCGTCATTGGATAAAATCTCATTGCAGACATTAATGTCAGTAACCTTTGCTTAATGTATAAAAGGCTAAATCCCAGTATTAATACAGCTTTTCTACTGCCACTGGACAAGTAAGCTATGGGTAATGAGCTGTCTGCACCATTCTAAATACAAACCACACAGTAATCAAATTCTCCTCACTGACATACTCTTTTCTAACCACCTGATTTCTAGGAACTAGAAAAGCCCCAAGACCTAATTATGTCTGGTCATTTTCTGAGACCAATGTCATCACCACCCCTACCTTTATCATTACAAGTTCCTAATAAAAAGTGGAAAAGAAATTTCACCTTACATAATTCCAAACTTCTGGTTAAATACTTGCTACTTGTGCTAAGTGCTTATCATTCACCCTATGAATTACACAAGAGATTCCAGTGTGCTTAAAGACACCCTACCCTGCCCCTACAGCCCTCCAATAAAAAGCAGATACTGAGATGCCTATTCAATGAAGATGACCACTTGGTCCTCACAAAAACACCATATTTTAAATACTGCTCACAGTTCACACTTCAAAGGTTACTTTATGCCAGGTATGGTGGTGCACACCTGTAATCCGAGCACTTGGGAGGCTAAGGCAGGAAGATCATTGTGAGTTCGAGACCAGCCTGGGCTACAAAGTGAGCTCAAGGCGAGCCTGAACTGCATAACAAGACCTTGTCTCCAAAAAAAAAAAAAAAAAAAAACCCAAAGGTTACTTTATGAGTATTAACTTAGAACACAGGAAGTTTCAGAGGATGTGCCAATGATCCACAACCCTGCCAGATAAATACCTCCATGTAACCATTTCCACAAGTAAAGGTATTAAAAGGTTGTGCTAATATTTACATAATATATACAGCCATGTGTGGTGGTATGCCTGTAATCCTAGCCCTCAGCAGGCTGAGGCAGAAAGACTGCTGTGAGTTCAAGGGTAGCCTGAACTACACAGTGAAATGCGATTTCAAAAAAAGAATTCACATAATATAGTTTAAGACTGTAGCCACAATTTCCAGATTGAGTAAATTAACTTGAAATTAATGTCCTTCCTATTACATTTTTGGTTTTACCAACAAAAATCTTTTCCGGTCCTAAATCTTTTCATTTTTACTTTTAGATGACAACTAAGGAAAATCTTAATTGTTTTTTGAAGAACTTCAAGAAATACTCCAAAAACTTTAGTTTTTGCCAGCTGTAGTAGTGTATCCATGTAACTCCAGCACTCAGAAGGATAAGGCAGTATCCTTTGACCTTTGAGTTCAAGGCCAGCAGTAACTACACAGTGAGACCCTGTCTTAAAAAAAAAAAAAAAATTTAAATAACATGAATACCTATAAGGTTATGTTTTAATTAGTATTGTCATAATTTTATCAATAAAGATGTGAACAGCTTCATTTGATAGTAACAAGCCAATATGCTTTGATTTTTTAAAAAATTAAGAATTAGAGGATAACAATTTTTTGTTTTTGCAGTACTGGGGATCAAACCTAGGGCCTCACACATGCTAGGCAAGTGCTCTACCACTGAGCTACACCAACATTCCCCAATAGTTTTCTTAAAATAGTACTCACAAAAGGAACAACGCATTTTCGTATATGGCCAAACTGAGCAAAGTATTCTCTCAGCTCACCTGTAGGAGGGTAGACAACATATTAAAGGTAGTTAATATATTTTGTTTTCTCTACCCTACATTGCAGATGGCAACTAAAAGGTGTCCTAGAGTCCCCACATTTCTTGTAGACCAAAACTGCTTTGCATTCCCTTAACCAAAGATTCAGCAAGCAGTCATAGGAGTGACTATATTGCTGCAATATACCACACTTGGTGGGGATGAGGACATAGGCCCATGAACTGCTGCAATGGCCGCAGTCTCCATACTCAGCAATTACTGAGCATTTTCATAATACCAGGTACTGTGTTAGGTGTGTGCATTAAAACCCTGTAAGTATATCATACAGAAGTCACTAAGTGCAACCCAGTTTGTTGCTAATTAGAGATTTCCAAATAACACCTCAACTTTCTAGTCATTCCTAAATTTAACTGAGTTAAACAGTTGATGCTCTAAAATGTGTTGAGTTAATCCCACCTAACCTTCCATCCTTATTTCATACCAGCCATGGGTACTCTCCAATATAGCAAACTGAATTTTCTGTATCCTACCCTGTACGGGAAATCCCATCTTTGCATATGTTATTCCCTTCCTTTAAGGTGTCAGTATTCCTATCTCCTTCCACCTAAATTATAACTATCCTTCCACAATGAAGCCAAATACATCCACTGAGTATTCCTTTATTGAGCTTCTACTACAAGACAAGACAACGGACCATACCTGTGAGATCTGTTTACAGTTATATACTATAATACCAATTATACTTTATAATCTTAAGAAGAAAATTACATGATCTCTTTTCTTCTGAACTACAGCTGTAGTTTGCTGGTTTACATTTTCTATTACTGGTCTGTTTTTCCTAGTTCATCTAAACTGCATTCTAAACTGCTGATATGTGTTGTGAGTCCCACCCACCACTATAAGTTGTATAGAAACTACTATATTTACAATGTGTGTTACACAATAAGGCTTCAATATTGGATGAGTGAATAAGTAAAAGTCTGGTGTTGCTGGGAGGTGGTAGAACCCTTAAGAGGTGGGCCTCCTCTGTCTATCTCTCTTTCTGCTTCCCCATGATGGTGCTCCAACAGTCCACAGCAAAAGGACCAAATAACTAGGGATTGAAACCTCTGAAGCCGAGTTAAAATAAGAGGTGATCTTTACCTGAATATCCCCAAAAAGCGATCATAGATTTTTACATTGTAGTATGCAAACTCAAAACCCCAAATGACAAAAATCAAAGTTGGTAAAAGATTAGAGAATTACTCCAACACTATCTCCAAACGGCCTCTCCCATGAGCTCCCATTTAGTGACCAGGAAAATAACTACCATTCATTGAGTGCTCACACTCTGGCACAAATCTAAGACATTTATATATAAACTTGTCTAATACGTCCTCGATACTACAGTGTAGGTACATATTGACTATTCCTTTGGATAATTAAGTTGAGATACAGTTGTGAGCCCCTTTCCCATATTAGCTTCAGTTACTCAGGTTATACAACTATTAAATAGCTGAGGTGGTATTCTAACCCAGGAAGTCTGGCTTCGGAGTCAACTACTCAATTACTCTGTACAATCTCATGCAATTGCCTGACAGGGCCTCACATGCTTTACAAACTCAACACATTTCAACTTTACTCCTCACTTTCTCTCATGCAGCTTCGCCTAAATTCTAAACACAAATTCACCAACTGTAAAAAATCTGGAACTCATTCTAGACTTTCTCTCATACTGTACCCCTCCCTCCTCCAGCCATCAGGAAAAGCCGTGGGTTTTGTTTGAAAAACATAAGCAGATCTGACCCCTCTACCACTTCCTTAGTTCAGACCTTCATCTACGGGCTCGAATCCAGGGCCTTACACGATAGGCAACCGCTCTACTACTAAACTACCTCGCTAGGAGGTCCTCGTCCTTGAACTAAATGAAAATTACCTCTTATCTCGCCTCCATGTCTACAATTTGCCACTCTAACCCTTAAGCTCCACACTGCAGTCCCTTATAAATCGTAAGTCTCAAAATTCGCCAGTAATAAACCTTTCCACCAAATCACTCTAAGTTGTACGAAGCCGTGAATTAGTGCCCTAAAAGCTCAGGGGCATTCCCAAACAGTTCATTACAAACACAGTTTCTGTGTGATGGCTTGCTAAAGGGCAAATTCGGCTTTCTAATCCTGCCACTACGCTACGCGCTCTGCAGCAGCCAGAGGTTTTGCCTATTGCTTGGGCCCAGGGATTCCGCCCCTCCCACATCTTCATCACTCACTCGATTTCGCAGTCCAGGGAATTTTCCTGACAAAAGCAACCGGCCGGTTAACACTCGAACGCACCGCCATAGCACCCCTCGCTACGGAGGCTGCCATCTTTCGTCTGAAAGCCCTCGGTGACCTGAAGCGGTGACCCCGGAAGAACCTGCCGGATCCCTAGCGGAGGAATCTGCTTCCGGGTCAGAGGTCTAGGCAGCGGGATGGGGAAGATGGCTGCAGCTGTGAGCTCCGTAGCGACGCTGGCGACGGAGCCTGGGGAGGACGCCTTCCGGAAACTCTTCCGCTTCTACCGGCAGAGCCGTCCCGGGACAGCAGACCTAAGAGGGGTCATCGACTTCTCGACGGCCCACGCAGGCCGCAGCACGAGTCCTGGGACCCAAAAGGTACGGAAAAAGGCGCGGCGCGTGGCTCTCGAACTGCTCGCCTCGCGTGTTGGAGAGGCTTCCTCGCTGCCGAGCGATCCCCGTCCTTCCTGGGCGCGGAGCTGAACTGCGCACGAGCGTCACACTTCGCGGTAAAGCGCTGTGCTGCAAGTTTCTTCATGCTGCCATTCCCCGCCGCGATCTCAGACAAAACGCCTGGGAATTTGCTGGTTCATTCCTCCCTTTAACTACCCACGTACAGTTCTACGTTGTTTTGTGTAATACCCCATAAAACGTCTTCGTAGACGGTAAGGTACAGTCAAAAAAAAACCTGTAATCCCAGAACTGAGAGAGATTCAGCATTGGACAGTCTTAGTCCCATTTGTGCATAAAAGTAGTTCCAGACTTAACTGTACCTGTCAGCAAGAGGTCACTAAAAGATTCTGAGATAATCTTCCCAAGTTGAAAATAAATGTCAAAGTAGTATATGTAAAATCCAAACAGCGTTACTTATTTCTCCTTTCCCCCTGAAATTTTTTTTTTTTTTTTTTTACTTTTTGAGACAGGGCTCGCTATGCAGTTCAGGCTGGCCTTGGGCTCACTTTGTAGCCCAGGCTGGTCGAACTCACAACGATGCTCTTGCCTCAGCCTCCCGAGTGCTGGGATTACAGACGTGCGCTACCACGCCCGGCTCCCCCTGAAAATTAAGAAAGGGACCACAGTGGGGAATGGTGGCCCAGGGCCCACCTCAGCTGTAGTGCAGTTACATTTCTTTACATGGAGGACATGCAGTCTTTTAAAAGGCCCTTCATGTTGTCCACAGGTGTCTGGAAGAAACATTCTTCCCAAGGGATAGTATATCTCTCAGTAAAACTGTAATGCTGTAGTAACTGTGCTTGTCTAGAACTCAGCTTCTCTGCAACTTCATTTGAAATAGAAAGTAAGCATTGTGAGACTGCACCTTTGACTCAGGAATGCTTCAAAACCTCACTGAGCTGCATTTATATATATTTCACCATTGTGCGTACATTCTTTTTAGAACATAAGTCACCTGAGAACAGGACATCAAGTCCAACACAGTACCCAAAAAAATAGCACAGTGTGTGGAGTATGAAAGCTTTAGTGTTTAGTTCCTGAACTCAAAGCAGGTTAAAAGTAGCAAATTAGAAAAGTTGGTATCACAAGACAGTTGATTAAAGCAGTTGGGAAATGATGGCTAACAGTCTGGAAAAGGAAAAAGAAGAAAAATTCTTAAAAGTTCAGTGGTTTGGTTCAGTTTAGCATGTGATAGAATAGATTCATAAACACACCAGCTCTTGGGTGCTGCTTACTTATCATCAGTATTAATTGTGGCCTATTTAAGCAGTCATGAAAGGGGCTGGGGATTTAGCTCAGCGACAAAGCGCCTGCCTGGCAAGCGCAAGGTCGTGAGTTTGATTCTTGGTATCAGAAGAAAAACAAAACACAAAAAAGAAATCATGAAAAATGTTTTATCAACCCCAGCATACCTGGAAAACTCAGCTGATCAAGTTTCACAAGATTTCAGTTGTCACTTTATTATAAACACTGGTTGTACATCAGTTACTACTTGGTATTTTGTCTGGAAAGCTCCTTAATTAGAAGTTGGTAGGATAGAAGATATTTCTTTGGAAGAGAACACTTAATATACTTAAGGAAAGCCAGGGTCTAAGTTTATTATTCATGGAAGAATAATTTTTTTCTTAATGTCCCTAGCTTAATAACTGCATATTAGATGTCTTAATCCATGAGAGAAACCATCCATAAAGACCTCTGATATGTAGAAAAAACCTCATCGGCCCTAATATTTTATCTCTAAGTAACTACCAAAAACAAAATGCTAGTATTAACATTTCATCTAAAAAAGTAAAACTGTTATTACACTTCATGCAATTGGGGTTCCTGGTGCTTTATTGAAACTTTTTTCTTTTTGGTTAAAGCACTCTTTTCATTCTCATCCTGCCCAGCTTGCTGTTCCTCGTAGCTCTGTATAAACATTAACCGCATATAAGTACCTCAGAAGCAGTATATCAACCAGTGTAAATAGTATTGTGACTTGGGATATTCCAGTATACCTAATACCATTCATGAGCCTATTACCAAATATGGTCTCATAGAAAACAGTAGTATTGCCCAGGCATGGTGGCACACAGCACCTGGGAGACTGAGGCAGGAGGATCCCTTCAAGTTTGAGGCCAGCCTAGGCTACCTGATAAGTTCGGGCTGGCCTGCACTGCATAGTGAGACCCTGTCTCAAAAAAAGAAAACAGTAGTTGTGAAGGCCAAACCACCTTTTTGTTAATTTTCCTCTTATGACTTACTTTGTATAACTTCCTAATATTTGTTCATATATAAATGAAAAAACTATATCTCTAGGCAGTTAAATTACACATCTAAAGCTCCCAGATCAAAGAAGTGGCAGATCTAAGACTAAAATCCCCAACATAAGATGTACCAAAAATGTCTTGTGAGGTTGAGGTTCCCCAGGCTGACTTATAAAGTGTCTTTACCCTTCTGACTTGTGTTTCCTTCCTTTCAGGTGGTCAGATCTCAGCTAAGTGTGTCCTCTGTCAGTGAGCACAATGCACATCGAGCAGGACTTAGGCCAGTCAGCAAGTGGCAAGCCTATGGACTGGAAGGCTACCCTGGTGCGTACATCTCACCTCAGACAAGGTGGAACCATGCAGTCATTTCTCTGACTTAATAGGAGAGGCTGTGAACAATAGACAAAGGAGTAAAGTAAACATACAGGGCGAAAATTGTGCCCTATCCATTGATGTCCATTTAGTTAGCCCCAAAGTTTACAACAAGAATCAGCAGTGCCGGCCTCCTGGGTAGAAAGTGACACAACAAATTACATAACAAAGACATTGACTCTCAGCTCCCTACCCCAACTCTGAACATCACTCTACCAGGAGAACTGCTTTAAATAATAGAATAATTCATAATAATCACCCCAGCACATTCTCAAATGCAGAATAGCTTCAAATGTGTTACTATCAAAGCTAAACATTTTAAAAGAAAATTACAGTTAAGGAGATCAAAAGTCCTAATAGACTGAATATTTTATATTATTCACTTTATATTATTTACTTTTATATTTTATATTACTTTAGTTTTATTTTATTTACTATTTTATATTACAAATATTATATATTATTTACTTATATTATTTAGTGATGTTGGGTAGGTCATTTTGCAGGTAAAGGAATTAAGAGTGAATAATGTTAATTAGCATCTTTATTAGTCTCATGGGGCCATTGTAAGTTGATTATTACAAGCCATTTAGAAGATACAGAAATGCTTTATTTTGCCAAATAGTCTTAAGTCTACCATCCCATTTCTTTCTTTGCTTTGTTTTTTGCTTATGTTGTCCAGGGTGATCTCAAACTCTTGAGCTTTTGTCAAGCAGTCCTTCCACCTCAGCTTCCAAGTAGCTGAGACTAGGCACATGCAGGCATGACTGACTGTTTCTTCTGTAAAAGGCTTCATGTATTGTAGTTCCGTATGAAGTCATGAAAGGAACAGTTGAGTGAAAGCATCATTCTTTGTGAGTTCGGGTAAATGTAAAGCACACACCATCAGCAATGTTTTATGAACTTATTCTTCCTTGGGGACTATTCTCTAGCTCTCACCTCTAGCACCTGTTTTCGAGGCTGTGATTTTCATTGCTTTTGCTTTTGAGACAGGATCTCGCTGTGTAGACCAGGCTGGCCTTGAGCTCATTGTGTAGCACAGGCTGGCCTTAAACTCATGGCGATTCTTCTGCCGCAATCTCACCAGTGCTGGGATTATAGGTGTGCGCCACCACGCCCAGCAAGGCTATGGTTTTCTTTTTTTTTTTTGTTTTTCTCCGGTACCGGGAACCGAACTCACAACCTTGCGCTTGCCAGGCAGGCGCTTTTGCCACTGAGCTAAATCCCCAGCCCCAAGGCTATGGTTTTCTGTTACTGTAGGCCTTCTTCCATTACAAGTTTGTTCAAACTACAGTGTTACCTTACTTTGGTTTTGTATTTTCGAAACTGGTGTAACTTATTTGTGAGGTTTTCTAGGATTTCTTACTTTAAGCCACATCATTTGAGTTGGTGCCTCCTTTTGTGTTTAAGGAATTTTCCCATCTTCCCTCCCATTGTAAGTTACATTTAATAGAAGTGTAATGTCGTGCCAAGCGTGGTGGCACACACCTGTAATCCTAGTACTCTAGAGGTTGAGGTAAGAGGATCACTGAGTTCAAGGCCAGGCTGAACCACATCGTCAGACCCTGTCTCAAAAAAGCGAAACAAACAAACAAAAATGTAATACCTTTTTTTTTTTCTTTTGTCTTTTTGAGACAGGGTCTCACTGTGCAGTTCAGGCTGGCCTTGAGCTCACTTTGTAGCTCAGGGTGGCCTCAAACTCGCAAGAATCCTCCTGCCTCAGCCTCCGGAGTGCTGGGATTACAGGCGTGTGCCGCCACTCCCAGCATAAAAATGTAATATCCACAGTATGGGTGATAACAGTTGCCTTTTACTCTGAATTGATCAGAAGGGTTGTATTTACTTCTGGGACTCACTCTGAAGGAGGCTGAATATACCAAACCTGCTCTTACAAGACAGACCCGAAGGACAGTGGGTCTGGAAACCAGAAACTTACTGTAGAAATGAGATGATTTGGTGGGAAACATGACAACACCAAACATTTCCAAGGTGATCAGATGCAAGAAGGAGTGGGAAAGAGTAGAGTAGTGGTTAAGAGGTAGGTTTCAGTGCCAGGCTGCTTGGACTTAGACTGGTACTACCAGCTAGGAACTGACGTGGAGCCAGTTTTTTTCTTTTCTTTCTTTCTTTCATCACTTTTTTCGGTGATACTGGGGATTGAACCCAGGGGTGTTCTCTACCATTGAGCTACCTCCCTTTTTATTTTGCCCAATCTGTCTTCAAACTGAAGATCCTCCTGTCTCAGCCTCCCATGTAACTAGGATTGTGTATAAAGTATGTATAAAATAGTGCCCACTTCATAAGGTTATGTGAAGTTTCAATTTTTTTTTTTTGAAGTTTCAAGTTGAATATACATGCAGAATGCTTAGATCAGTGACTGGCACATAGTAAGCACTCAGTAAATATTAACTATAAAGCGTTAATAAGAACAATCACTGGTTTGGGGTTGCTGTAGGTGTCAGAAATCAAGATCAGTACGTGACAAAAGGAGGCAGACTTTTAACCTAAAGAAAAGAAAATAGCACTGCAGTTGTCTAAGATTCCTAAAGAGGAATTTGCTGTCTGTTCAAGCTTGCACTAGATCAGAAGTATTCTTCCTTTAATATGGTACTTTGGGGGCTATTAGAGTATTCTTTATTTTGTGAAATCATGATGCCAGCTGATGGTAGGCAGTGGAAGTATGTATTTGTCTATTTGTTCTGTGATACTTGGGATTGAACCCAGACCCTTTGTACTACATCCTCAACCCTTTAAAAATGTTTTATTTTGAGACGGGTTTTACTAAGCCATTAAATTTCCCAGGCTGTAATTAAAATTGTGATCCTGCCACAACATCCCAGAGATTACAGGCAAGTGTCACCTCTTTGTTTTTTAATGTCACTTAGTCCCCCAAATATTGACTCTCTTATCACCCTTACAAATTATTGGAGAGTTAACTGCTAAATGAAATGCAAAGTTAGGAACTCCTATTAGGTTCTACTTTTTGAAGACACTAGAAGGCATATAAGGAATCAGGTGATTAAACTAGATGGCTATTGGAATGAATTTCTACGACTGATCCATTAAAAATGTTGATTGTGGGCCGGGGATATGCTCAGCGGCACAGCACCTGCCTGGCTAGCGTGAGGTCGTGAGTTTGATTCCCAGTACCAAAAAAAATGTTTATTGCTCAAACTGTTAATGATTTTCTCTTTCTTTTATTGCTGCATTGGTGTATAGTCTGCCTAGGTAATGAAATCCACCAATAGCTTTCAATTTTTTTCTTAGTTGATAAAAATCTTTGCTATATGAGGTTGCCTTGGAACCAGCATGTAACAGACTTTGGTAATTAGACTTAGTTTGGAGTATATGCTATTGATAATAATAAATGGTAAAACAGAATTAATAACTGCAGTGACCACCCTGTCCTGAGTGAACATCTGTAAGGTATTTTTTTTCCCATATCTGCAAGAGTCTAGACGTACTAAAATTTTAAGTGCTCTTAGTACGATTTAGTACAGTGGAGAAATCTTTAGGTTATTTTCTATGTGTTTTTTGTCAGGTCAGCAGAAGTTCTTTTCTGCCAAACTTTAATCTCTTTGAAATTCTGGTAAACAGTTTTATTGGGAAAACAACCATGCTTAATTGTTTACTTATTATCTGTGGCTACTTTCCTGCTACACTTGAAGTGTTAAGTGCTAAAGAGAACAAATAACCCTCAGAGCCTGAAATACTTACTTTGTTGCTCTTGACAAAAAATGTATGCTGCCCTCATCCAGGCTAGAATCTGCACATAACTGCCTGCATTTAACTCAGAAATCCTTAAGTATTAGCGTTTTCATGATTTTAGTACCCATTTGCAAGGAGGACAGGGACATTACACTAATAGATGATTGCCTTTTGTGTAGTTTCGTTTATTTCTACTTGTTCTTCAGGATCCCTTCCCAGCCATTCTTTGTTTTGCTGAGATGGTCTTGCTTTTTACCTGATGACGGGAAACTGAGTCTAGCAGACACAGACCCCTTCAGCTTTCCGTGGTCTCACAGCACACAAGTGTTCTCATTCTCATCCTCTAGTCTTAGCAGGACAGTTCTTCTCACAGCCAGAACCTTCACCATCTTCTCCCTTTCCTTCTCCTTCTCCCTCTCCCTCTTTCCCTCTCTCTTTTTTCTTTCTCTCTTTCTCTCTCTCTTGCTGTCTTTCTCTTTTTCTTTCTTAAGACAGGGTCTCGCTCTGTAATTTAGGCTGGTCTTAAACTCAGTGTGTAGCTGAGGCTAGCCTCAAAGTCACAGCAGTCCTCCTGCCTCAGCCTCTCTAGTGCTGGGATTATGGGCGTGTGCCACCACACCTGGATTCTTCACCATCTTGAAGTCACATTTTATCTCTTTCAAGACCTTGCTCTGTTCCACTCTTCCATTTTCAGTCAATTATTCTTTACCTTCTCTTTTCACAACTTAGCATGCTTAGGCCTTGCAAATCCCCAAAAATCTTAAACTCTCTTAATTTGTGTTCCTGTATGACTGCTACTCCTCAGCCTTTGTTTTCCTTTATAGCCAGGCTTCTAAAAGGAATTACTTGTGTGATCTTCTACTGTACTGTCTCCAAGGACTTCAGTTTCTTCAGACTTTTCCATCTCTTTAATTCTTAACAAAATATCTGATATGTAATATGTGTTTTTTGATGAATAAATGAATCTTTACCATGAAGAGGATTCCATTTAAATACTTTGTTCATCTTTTACAGAGGAGAAAAATCAGGGTGTTTTACTGTCAAAGTCACAAAGTGCTAGGTGGGCATGGTGACGCACACCTGTAATCCCAGCACTAAGGAGATTGAGGCAGGAGGATCATTGTGAGTTCGAGGCCAACCTGGGCTACAAAGTGAGCTCAAGGGCAGGCTGAACTGTGGAGCAAGACCCTGTCTCAAAAAAAAGACAAAAAAAGTCACAAAGATCTGATACACATGGTATATAATTATCTGTATCATACCATACTTAAAAGATGAGTATAACGGCTTCCCTGTTATATCAGTCAAGGTTCAGTCCAGGAAGTAAACATCACCTTTTTTTTTTTAACTAATGATATAAAGAATTATTAGTCAAGTATTAGAAAACTCACCAGGGATTTAGCTCAGCAGCACAGCGCCTGCCTGGCAAGCATGAAGTCATGAGTTCGATTCCCAGTACCAAAAAAAAAAGTATTAGAAAACTCAGAAGGGAGCACTGAAGAATCGCAGAGGTAGCAGCTGTAGTAAAAGGCCACCATCCCTACAACTGAGAGTGAAAACAAGAGTTTGGGATTATTAAATTTAGCATCTTGGAAGAGGGGCCACATGGAGGTAAGATTTAGATTTCCTTTTTCTTTCTTTTCTGGCGGTGCTGAGGATTAAACCCTGGGCCTCACACATGGTAGGTAAAGCACTCTGACACTAGACTACATTGCCAGCTCCCAAGACTTCGAAATCTGAGGAAGGGACATAGTGAGGCTGGTTCTAATGTTATGCCAGACTACACCATTTACCCTCCAGTCATCCATTAGTGCCCCACGTGGGCACAGGTTCACAGGGAGCCAGCTGACAAAGAAAAAACTAAGTTTGAAGCTCCCAGCCTCACACTGTGAAGCCAAGTACAGAAGGATCAATCTGATGCCAAGAGACAAAAGAGATTAATAACGTGTTCATTAGATGCAGACTCTTAAATCTGTATTTTAGTTAAATTCAGTATAAGAGTTCAGCCTACTTTGCCTGTGGTAAATGAAATAAGGAGTTAGAGGTCTTGGGTGACCTTGTCTTGTTTTTTGTTTGGTTGTGACAGGATCTTGCTTTGTAGTTCAGGCTGGCCTCAAACTCACTAGGTAGCCCAACATCCTCCTGTCTTAGCCTCCTCTGGGTGCTGGGATTACAAGTATGTGCCACCACACCCCACTCTGGATTATTCTAAATGGTTGCACTTGTGAAAATGAGAGAGTGGACTTTTTACACTGAGTTCTGAAGGCTTGCTTTAGGGTAACACAGTTGACAGTTAACCTTGGGGAATGTTTGTTTCCCTGCAGAATAACCGAAAGATCCAGACATAACTGCATAAGTATAGGTATCTGATGTTCCTCAAAACTTACTGTCACTCACCCAGGTACAGTGCTCCTGCACACCTGTAATCCCAGCATTCTGGGAAACAGGGCGGAAGGGAAGTAAGCGCTAGCCCAGCCTGGCAACTTAGCCAGACTGTCTCGGAGTGCAGAAGGGCCCAGGATGTAACTCAATGTGAAGGCCTTGGGTTCAAGCCATGGTGTGGGGGGCAAGAAAAACCTTCCTAGCTTTTCATTAGTTTGAATCATGACCAAAGGATATGGGAAATAAATGACAGAATGCGAGTATAACAAAAAGAAATTATATGAATAACTGATGGAGAATTTCCTCCTCTCCTTTCTTCCCACTCATCTTTTGTATAGGATTTATTTTTATCCCAAACCCCTTCCTCCCAGGATATCAGTGGCACTGGGTGAAGCAGTGCCTTAAGTCCTACTCCCAGAAACCCAACGTGTGCAACCTGGACAAGCACATGACTGAAGCCGAGCCCCGAGACCTGTGGGGACAGAGCAAAGGGCTGCTGAGGTGAGTCTGAGCAGCGCGGGTGCTGATAGCTCGGGTCATTACTGACCTGAAGAAACGGTTCCACAGTGGTGAAGTAGAAATGGCTATCCTGGTTTTTCCACACACAATACAGTTTTTTCTTTCCCAGGGAATGTTTGGACAGATGCTTTGACAGTTATATTAAACTGAGATCCATTTTAAAGACTTGTTTATCATAGCTAAAATACTGAGCTCATCCACATTAATCATTAGATCCATTTTTTATTTAGCTCCAGCACTTTTTCTGCTTAAAGTGAGCTCTTTTGAAGGCTTGTGGTATCCTAGGAAAAAGTATCATTGCTAACTCTACTTCTCCTCTCTTACATGGAGTTGATGCTACCAGCTGTTTTATGGTAGATCCATCATTCCTCAGGGGAGAACAAGTGTTTGTACAGTATGTTCATGTTTCAACATTCCTTTCACAGTAATATCATAAACCTTAATGCTCTTAAACTAGACTGCATTTTCAAATAAGTTATTTTTCCTCCTTCTGATACTTACTGGGGGTCAGTCGCAGGTCAGACATGATGCTAGGCATTGGAAACAAAAGGCTTAATAGGAGATTCTCCCTGTACTCAGAAGCAAATAGTTTGTGGCAGAAATTCATTTTGTACAAGAATAATTACATTGGAGCTCAGACACTGTTATGATGGAGGTTAAAAAAATACTGTGAGAGCACAGAGGAGGAAATAATTCTTCCAGAGAGGGTAGCAGTGTCAGAGGAGAAGCAGCATTTTTTTAAATTGAGTCTATTAATCTCTTTTTCTCTGTCCATTTGAACTGATCTTTAAAACTGATTAGGGGTTTACCAGTCAGAAAAGCAGAAAGGCTGGTTAGGTACATGGGTCAGGGGTGGAGCACATGCGTAGTACTCATGAGCCCTGGGTTCAGTCCCCAGCACTGCAAGAAAGAGGAGAGAGAAGGGGGAAAATTAACCTGTAGAGAAAACAGCCTAAGCAGATGCAATAGTTAAGATAGAATAAGTTGTTCTGTGAGGTGGGAGCTCAGGGTGTGTGTTCATAAGTTTATGCAGCAGATCTTACTGAGTTTCTGATATGTGTTAGACACTGTGCTTAGGAAACTCTCAAAGACAGATAAGAAAGTTTCTATCCTTAAGAAATTTGTTGTTGGCTGGGCTTGGTGGCACAAGCCTGTAATCCCAGCACTCAGGAGGCTGAGGCAGGAGGATCTTTGCAAGTTCAAGGCCAGCCTGAACTGCATAGGGAGACCCTGTCTCAAAAAGACAAAAAAAAGAAAAAGAAATTTGCTTAGTCAAGAACAGAGGCATATAAACAGATAATCAAATACAACTTGGCAGGTACAGGTTTAGAGTGAATAGGACATCATGAGAATAGTCATTGGGTTGTGACTGGGTTGGGTTTAGATTTTGGGAAATGCCTCCTGGAAATTAGAGTAGGGGAGGGGAAATGTGAATCAGGAAAGGTGGATTAGAGAGGGTATGGAGGGTGAATCGTGATGGAGAGCACCAGTTCTGGAGTCACCTGAGTTCAGATCCTGGCTCTGCCACTTTCTGACTGTTTCAATGTGAGCGATTTTCTTAACCTTTCTGTCCCGCCTAACAATCCTTTCCTTACTGAATAATGTGGAGATTAAACAAGGTCATATATGAGAAGGCCTTAGGAGAGTGCCAGCTAACATCATTTTACCAACTCTCTGTCCTACAGAAACTGTCATGTTGATTCTGGCGAAGTAGTTTTTATTAAGTTAAAAGAGCACTAAGATTCAGTAGTTTCCCTTAAAGCCTTCTGAGGTTTGTAGGTAGAGTATAGGAAGGAACAACAAGATAAACTATACCCTTTAGCTTTTTGTAATACCTTCTCTAGAACTGAGAGCAAAGTAAAGTAAGATCATCATAAAATTAGTCAGAAAAGAGCTTATGGTTATTAAACCAAACTGCATTTTCAAGTAATTTATTTTTTCCCTTTCTGATATATGACTAGAAATCCCTGCTGTCTTCTGAGATAGCTCAGATGAATTTCCGTAATAAATCATCCTGTAGACAATGGTGAGATACTTTTTTTTTTTTTTTTTTTTTTTCTAATAAATTAGCAAAAGTAAAAAATGTGATGGCTATACCTTATGTTGTCAAAGGCTAGGAGAAATTGATATGCTTAGACACTGTGCTGGAAGCATTGAAAATCGATTAGGTCCTTAATTCTTGTTCTGTCACTGTGTGATATGTGTGACTTTCCTCACATGGGAAGTGAAGGTATTAAAATAAGCTATTCAAAGTGATTGTATTATTGTCACTCAGAGTCCTATGGACATTACATGTAGCCCTTACCACTTTCCCAGACTATCAGAGATTGAGAGGTTCTGTTGTTTTAAAAAGATTCCTCTGGAAGCCAGGGATGGTGACTCACATATGTAATCCAGCACTTGAGAGACTGAGGCAGGAAGATGACCATGAGTTCCATCCTGGGCTACATAGTGAGTTCAAGGTCAGCCTGAATTGCAAAGCGAGACTTTGTCTCAGAAACAAAAAAAAGGGCATAGAGGCTCATGCCTGTAATCCCAACACAGTGATTTATGCAGGGGGATCACATGCTCAAGCCCAGTATAACTAGTAAGTGGTAGAGCAAGGATTTGAACTTAGGCAGTTTAGCCACTTAAAGGGACCCTATCTCAAAAAAAAAGAAAATAGACTGAGATGTAGCCAGTGCAATGCTTAGGTTCAATCCTCAGTACTGCAGAGACAAAACCAAAATGAAAAATACCAAAAGGTGCATATTATGAATATCTACTGTAATGTCCTCCCACATTAAGAGGCAGGAACAAGAGGACCTCTAAGGATCCTCTCACTTTTAACTCGTAGTACTCTCTGGTTACTTTAAATAGGAAATAAATGAGGGCCTCTCAGATCTGTGTTCTGTTCAGCATTCAAAGTGAGTCTTGTAGCTAGAGTCTTACAAAGAGTACACAGATGGGATGCAAGCATTTTCCTTGCAGCCTTGTCTAGAACAGAAAGAATAATAGGAAACATTTTAAGAGTTTGTCCACAGGAGACCAGACTAATCAAGAGTGGTATATCCCAGCAATAGAATGCAGGCATTATAAAACCTTAAATCTGAGGCCAGGCGCGGTGGTGCACACCTACACAGGAGGATCATTGTGGAGTTCAAAACCAGCCTGGGCTACAAAGTGAGCTCAAGGCCAGCCTGAACTGCATAGCAAGACCCTGTCTCAAAAAGACAAAAAAACAAAACACATACGCCTTAAATCCGGTTGGGGATATAGCTCAGTGGCACAAGCGCCTACCTGGCAAGCACAAGGTCTTGAGTTCAATTTCTGATACAAAAAAAAAACCTTTAAATCCAGGCCAGGAATGATGTTGCACACCTGCAATCTCGGCACTCAGGAGGCAGGCAGGAGGATTGCTGCATGTTCACGGCCAACCTGGGCTACATAGTGAGTTCAAGGCCAGCTAGAGCTGCATAGTGAGACCATGTCTCAAAAAAATCTTAAATCTAGATGACCTGTTGCAAATATAGTAAGCTTTACAGTCAGAACAAATTCAGTCATTTCTCAAAATCTATCCCAGCCATGTTAGTCTAAGGCACCGTCCTATCTTTCCTAGAGAACACTGTACTGGCTTCCTGTCTCACCTCCTAGCGTCTGCTCTTATTCTCTTCAAGCAATTCTCAGTTCTCTACGTGGAATGTACAAATTTTTTGTCACTTTTCTCACAGCTTCCTGTCTGCTGTTCATTTTGGATGCAGACTGTCTGGAGTTACCGTACACTTCACAACTTCAAGGCATAGTCCCATACATGACGACCCACCTCCGACACCAGCCCCCACTTTGGGAGGGTCTCCAGGATAACTACGCCTGCATTTGGGGCAGACTCATGTAGGTTCAGTAATTCACTGGAACAATTCCCAGGACTCAGGAAAGCATATACTTATGATTACAGTTCTACTGTAAAGGATACAGTTAGGACCAGCCTAATGAAGACACAGGCGGCAAGGTCCTCTTTCCAATACAATCATGGCACATCACCCATCTAGCACATTAGTGTGTTCACCAACCAGTAATCCCTCCGAGGCCGTAGCATCCAGAATTTCCATTGGTGTTTCATTATTTAGGCATGATCAGCTGAATTATTAGCCACAGGGTTGACTTCAGTCTCCAGTCCCCGCCTATTTTGGAGGTACTTCTAATAGGACTTGTCTTAAAACCCCCGTCCTCTGCTCACATGATTGGTCTTTCTCGCATGACCAGCCTACATCCTGAGTCATCTGGTTAGCATGAACGCAGGAGTACGTGTAAAGATCTACCATGATTAACAGTGACACTCCTATCTTCAGGAAATCCCAAGGGTTTAAAGAATTCCTCCCATGAACCAGCGACAAAGGTCAATCAGATTCTTTGTTATACAACGCTGTTACATTTTTTAAAAATCTAAAATCTTTCTCACGGTCTACAAAACTTAGATGGTACCAAGCCCTGGCCACCTCACTAACCTCATTTCCTTTCATCTGTTTGGCCACGCCAGCCTGTAGTGCTGTAGAGCAAACACATCGGGCCTGCAAAGATGCCTTGTACAAGCTGTTCCTCTGCCTGCGAAGCTTTTCCCTGAGACCTGGGAAACTCTTCCCTTAGGTAGCCAGTAGCTTGCTTCCTTTACCCCTTTGTTCTGACACTATCCAATAAGAGGCTTTTCCTTAACATTAAATCAAAAATAGTCCCTCACTTCCCCTACTCTGTCCTCTGATTTTGTTTTTTTTATTCTTGAGTGCAAGGAACTTTTCAATAAATATTTGTGGAATTCATTGGTACTTTTGTACCTTTTGAATTTTGTAACATGTATTACCTATTCAAAAACCTTCTTAAAAGAATAAGACAAGGGAAAATGTATATTTAAGTAAAGTAGCTTAGCTTTATTAGTATATGACATGCTTGGTACCCATTTTTATATATGTAAAAGCTTTTTCTACTGATATCCTGCACGTGGAGAAGTA